AGTTTAATTAATTATCTCTTTTTTTGCTTTCTTTTTTTCTTTTAATTTGTTACTAAATTATATTCGTAAAATATTTTGCGAGATTGCATGTTTTAATTTTAAAGTATAGAAATTAATTACACATAATTAGTTCTTCTATAATTGATGGCATTTTTTCATATCATTTATAGTTTTGGTGTTAAAAAATTTCCTAATTAAAGCATATATAATTTTATGATTTTAATATAATATATTTTATGTTTTATGATTAATATCATATATATCTTTATGATATATCGATTAAAAAAGAAGCGGAAAAAAAATATTTGAAATACAGTTTGGATTTTTTAAAAAATTTCAATTTTTAAATATTTAAGATTTTTAAATATTGAAATTTTACTATCATTTTTAACAGTATTTAAAAGAAAAGTAAAGGAAGAAAAAAAAGTGGCAAAAAAATTTGCAAATGAATTATTGAAATTGATAATTAAAAAAGTGAAGTCATTTGAAATGAATCAAAATCATTTTAATTTCATGCATTACCATTTTAAAATTACCAAAAAATAACACTTATGCAATCGGATAGAGTAATTTATGCAAAAGAGTTAGAAATTGTATTAATAAATGATAGATATAAATCATTTTGCGGAACACGTTTTCAAAATATTAGTATGACTGAAACGCATTTTGGATTGTTCTAGGATTGCAATGTTTTCCGAAACTGAAAGCACACGTATTATGACTAAAAATAAGTTTTGAATCATGATAAATTCTAAGAATACAGTATGCTTCGAAAAGTTGTGAGGATACAATAAGTCCGAAACGTAACATGAATACAGTATGTTCCGAAACATTGTGAGAATACAGTACATTTCGAAAAATTTGAGAATACAGCATGTTTCGAAAAGTTCTAAAAATACAGTATGTTCCGCAACATTGTAAGAATACGGTCTATTCCGAAACGTTATAAAAGTACGGTATGATCTGAAGCATTCTGAGAATAAGCTGTATTCCGGAATATATTCCGCGAAATAATATGATTGAAACACGTATTTGATCGTTGTAAGTTGCCATAATACTGTATGTTCGGAAATGTAAGAATACAGTATGTTCCGGAACGTCGTAGGGATACGGTATGTTCCGAAATACTGTGGGAATACGAATACGGTATGTTATAGGGATACGGTATGTCTCGAAAGGTTATAAGAATACGGTATGATCTGAAATATTTTGAGAATAAACTATGTTCCGGAATATTGTATTACAATATATTCCAAGACATAGTATGATTGAAACACGTTATTGATCGTTGTAGGTCACAGTAATGCAGTACGTGCCGAAACGTAGCATGAGTAGAACATGTTTCGGATAGGAGAATGAATGCAGAATGCAGAATATATATTATGCATAAACTGCATTTCATGTAGCAATATTATTTATGCAATACGTTTCTAACTTACAGTATAATTAGCATTAGATTAAGTTATAAGTACAAATAAGATATGATGAGAAATTCAAGTAAATCACTGATTAACCTTTTTAAATTGTTACACCACAATTGAATCATTATTGTTATATGAAAGTAAAGTTATCATATAGAATTGATTCGTTTACTCTAAGTGATTAAAATGATAAATTGATAAGGTTCATTTAAAATGATTTTTTTCTAATCTTCAATTTAAGAATGATAAATTGAAACGAAATTTCATTGCGAAGGATTTATTTCCTAATTTTAAATTAAAAATTAATGCAATTTTTTGTGTTCAAAATTTTTGAAGTGTATATTTGTAATAATTTAAATTTCCTCAATCATTTTAAATTTATCATTATCATATCATACAGGAAAAATTGTTAAAGAGAGTAATGCTATAAAACATCTAATCTGTAAATATTGAAATAATACAGTAATTAAAACATGAAAGACTGAATATGATATTATTTCTGACAAAGGAAATTCAATACGAAATATTTGAATAATAAAAACTAATTGAATTAAAAATCAATAATATAGTTTGTTTATTCTAACAAATTATATACATTGATTAATTGTTATTAGCACTTTTTTCAAACAAAATTTCTTAAACTAAATTTTATAAATTTAATATTTATAAATAATTTTAGTCAATATAATCTTTTTGCATAATCATCTAAATAACAAATTACCTGATATTTTAGCATGTGATCCAGCATGTTTGGAACGGAACAAATATGTTATCGTAAGAGCACATCTCAAGAAACATACCGTATCCGTTGGTCTTTGCAAGAATGAAACACACCGTTGGGCTAAATCAATTGTATCACCATATATTTGTAATCGTAATATTGGTAAATGGGAACCTGATATTCAGGTAAACGTAACATAATAGAATAATTTATTTATTTATTTCAATCATTGCATTCAAATTATTTTAATTAACAAATTATGCAATGAATTGAAAAAATAATAAACGTTTAAGATAGTATGAGGAGAATACAATATCAGTAATTATGAATAGCAATAATAGAAATTTAACTTAATTTCAATTTTTTCACTGTTCAAAAAATTAATGAAACCAACTTTAGAATTTTAGTAATATATGCAAATAGCAATTCCAGATTCCCTTTTTTTTTTCATTTAAAACTAGCAAAATTTTAAATTTACTTTCTTTTTTCATATGTTACCAATATTCTTTTATTAAATTTCCGCTCATTTGTCAAACTTAAAAAAAAAATAGGAAATCATTTATTTTCGTTGACGCAGTATATTTGATCAGTTAATTAATTAATTAAGCAGCTAAGTTATGTGATTCACAAAACAATTGGTCACTTATTAATTGTAATAATAATAACAACGATAATAATAATGATAATGATAATACTAATAATAATAGTAATAATAATAATAATAATAATAATAATAATAATAATAATAATAATAATAAT